TAGAAGCGACCAGAAGCATTTGAATTTCAAAAAGAATACTACGGATTAGTTCTACTTCAGCTGATTAAATCTACACAAGTAAGTATATTTATTCCTTTTTTCTTTTAATTTTATAAAACCTCATTCAATATTCACAATTTTTCACATGTTTTTTCCCACGTGGTCTAAATAACTTGTAAGTTAACTGTTAAAAAAAATAACTGGTATAGATATATCAACATTATCAAAGGAATTATAAAACTTTCACTGAATATCAGTTCAATGTATCGTCGTATCGGGTAATTCATAGTATCACTATGATAAAACTTCGTAATTCTTTTGAATGCTATTACCGCGTGATAAACTTAACCAGTGTGAACACAGGCTTTTGAAATCAAGGCTTCCATTGGTGGCCGAGAATTATTATTTTGAATCGCTTTTAAATTGCTATCTGATGATTTTTAACTAACACAAAATATATTGTAACTTAAACGTTCCAAAGAAACTGGGGATAATCTTATTTTAAACATCAGTTCTTTGAAACATGTTAGTGCATCTAATAACCACCTGCGGAAATTAGCCATAATTGCGATCTGTAGGCGGATCTAACGTGTTCGGTACACGTATTTACAAAACTTTGATCCGTGTTTGTTACTCAGCAAAATTGTTCATTTCTAACATTGCGTTTGAGTTTTAAACAGATGTTTTAAACTCTAAATGTAGATAAATTACCAACAAAACTTACGATTTTTATTTATTTTTTTAAGCAGAATCTTTCAGCAAAATAAATAATTCTTTTACATAAACAATTTCTTAATGTTTCAACAACTATGAATTATCTGTTTTTGCTTAATACAAACACACATTTATCTAGAATGTAATTTGAAGACTTGGTTAAAGGGTTACATCTAATTTGTGAATACATCTTTCATCGTCTATCAAACAATATTTTAATTGGATCGGGGCGGATGAATTAATATATGTAAAGATTGAACTATACATGTGTGTTTTTAATTCAAAAGATGTGGTAAAATACAGTACTGTTAGTCTATACTTTTATGATATTCAATTTTTGTAATTTTTATACAGATTTACGACCCCGGCCTTGTCTTAGCAAGTTGATTTTATAACCCTTTTGTCGTTTTTTTTTTATTTTTTAATTTTTCCTTTGGAAGGGTAGGGTCAAGGGCGGAGGTTTTTTTCATTGTCTCATTGTTTCGTTTCTTGTTATCCTTTGAGATAACGATGTGATATTTGACATATTAGTTCATTATAATTTGATTTTCAGAAAATAAGAAATTTCATAGAATTCGGTAATTTTTACTATTTATTTGCATTCCAAAGGGAGGTAATGCCTACAAATGCACTCTGCTGAGTATTAATCTGCTGTTGGATTTTTCTCCATGTATAGATTGTATTCAATATCATAATTATACTTAATGAATTTAAAAAGCGTCAGGAATTTCAAAATATCCAATAATTCATTTCATGTAATGTTCATTTCATTTGTGATGTAGTTCTTTTGCCATTTTTCTGTTCTCATCACACCAGGCATGTAGTATCGTTTCAAAAAAAAGGGGGGGGGTGGATAAAACCTGAAAGAAAGGAAAACTGTCCAACACGAAAATCCCATTTCAAAATTTTAGTTATACATTATTATATTTCGCTGATTTGACTATGCTGCAACAAAAAAAGGGGGGAGGGCATTTAAGTAATTTTTTTTGTCTATTAACCAAATTTCATCTTAGTATCATATTTTATTTATGTTTTGCTTTGTGTTATCGATCCTTACTTTCATTTTTGATTTAACATAGCTCCGACAGGTCTTTAATTGGTATATTGTCATTAATTGTTGGCTTAAGCAATGTACAGCGCATAGAAACTATATGTAATTTTGCGCTTTATAAATTAATAAAATAATAATAATCATCATAATAATTTCAACAGCGAAATACTGTTTCGAAAAAATGGGGGGGGGGGGGAGGGGGGGAGACATACACCACCCCTCACTGGATACTGCGAGCCCGCACATGCACCTGTAGAATGGGACAATAAATTGTATTTCCTTACCATTGATATTCATTTATTTATTTATTGTTTATCTTAAGTATTTGCACCCAGTTTTTTTACTGTTGCAAATTAGAATATTTCCATATAAAATAATTTTAAAAAAACTATCATAATTTACCAGGTACGATCTTTAGTGCTTTTATTATTTTCACATTTTTCCCTACACGAACGAAGAAAAACGTATATTACAATTATTGTTGGATGCATTTTTTAAAAGAATATATAATAATATATACCGACCCAAAAAGATTCATTGTATTTTAGAGTATGAATTTATTACATACTACACTATTTATTTATCATTTTTATTCCTATATATACCTCTTTTTTTATTAGGTGACGATACATTCTTTCTATTCTACACTCTGTGTCAGTTTGCCTTCATATCATGGTTATTTTCTGGAAAAGTAAGCCTCGCTTCATGCTTAAAACTTTTTCTTTTCAAACTTTTGCTTTTTTTGTCGAGGAAAATACACGTCTCAGGAATTTAATATATTTTGTTAGAAATTTATAACAGAATGTCACTAGACCTTAAGTATGTTAGGAATCATGCAGGTTTAGAATTAAAGAACATTTTTTAGGTGTGATGGATCCAAATAAAAAACAAAGAAAAAGGCTTCTCTATAACAAGAAGTGGATATCGAAAAGACGCAGGCAATCAAACTTGAACCACAGAGATGGCAATAGCGAATCAAGTACTCCGACCACTCAGGGGGGGAAGGCATGATGTAACTAGGGAACATATACCAGATTCACCTGATAAATATGCTTCAAATCATGGAAATAGTACACAACAGGATGGTCGCAATACATCTTCTGAGAGTGAGAGAAATCCTTATATTTGGAATTTTAATTTTCAAAACATGACTTCTAGTGATCAAGAAAGTGGAAGTGATGATCCATCTACGCATCTGTTAGAAGCCTTAAGACAGTGGATTAACATGTACGAAATAAAGGCAAATGCTGTTGATGCCCTTCTTAAGATTTTGAGAGAAAATGGTCATACATATCTTCCGGCTTCTTCAAGAACATTGCTTCACACGCCAAGAAATGTTGAGCTATTGAGAGTTTCTGACATGAATTACTACCACTTTGGATTAGAAACGATGATGATCCATACTTTAAAAAAATACAGACTGGCTGATATTCAGGGTTTAGATACCTTGCATATTTCCTTAAATATTGATGGACTGCCCTTGTTTAAAAGTTCCAATACCTCCGCCTGGCCAGTTCTTGGAGTTATCAACAATTTAAAACCATTGAAGCCATTTCCTATAACATTGACTGTCGGCTGCACAAAACCTTCAAACCTTGACTTTCTAAATGAAGCAATTGCAGAGTATGACCATTTGCGTACCAATGGTATTCATTTTAATGAAACGGAGTTTGATGTTAAATTGACATGTATAATATGTGATGCACCTGCAAGAGCTTACGTGAAGTGTGTCAAACAATATTCAGGATACTTCGGTTGTGACAAATGTAATCAACGAGGGTCATACACTGGAAGAATGACATTCCCAGTCACGGACAATCTTGAACTTCGAACAGATGATTCGTTTAGAAACCAAGATCAGGAAGAACATCACAAGCAAAATATGCACTCACCATTTCTTAACCTACCTGTTGACATGGTGTGGGATTTTCCAATAGATTACATGCATCAAGTTTGTCTTGGTGTCACGAAGAAGTTGATCATTTCGTGGGTAAGGAGTCCACGACCAAACGTGAGGCTCTCTGCTGGACATGTTGGACAGATCAGCGCAAAGCTCATATCCTTAGCCCAATTTATGCCATGTGAGTTTTCAAGAAAACCAAGGAGCCTTGACGTGGTAGATCGATGGAAGGCTACAGAATTTCGGCAATTCTTACTGTACACTGGCCAGTTTGCACTTAGAGGCATTTTACCAAATCGCCTGTACAGACATTTCATGTGTTTAAGCATTGCTTTGAACATTCTGGTTAATCAGAGCCTGGTAGCCCATTATTCTGAGTATGCACATCGATTGCTTACATACTTTGTTAGAAAAAGCCGTGAATTATATGGCGAGGAGTTTTGTGTCTACAATGTTCACAGTCTTCTTCATCTAGGGAAAGAAGCCGAAAAATTTGGATCGCTCGACAAATGCGCTGCATGGCCGTTTGAAAATTATATGCAACAACTAAAGCGCAAAATAAGTGGAGGAAACAATCCAGCTGCTCAATTAGTGAAAAGAGTTTTGGAGTCCATGGAATCAGATTGTGAGAAAGATCCAATCAAGGTCAAGAAAATAAGATATAAAAAGCCAAATAATCTGTACCGTACCAACAGGGATAAGTACTGTGAATTAATTCGACCAACAAACAGAGAGGCAAAGTCATTCCTATGCAGAGTGTACCATTCTCCAGAAAATTCATTTACTTATCCATGCAACTCGGACTTGATTGGTCATGCTCAATTTGGAAAACTAAACTACAATGTCAAAACTCTAAATGCAGACGAATTGGTAATAAGATGTTTGAGAATGCCTTCACACCAGGAAAACAAAGTTGTGTTTGTCCCTTTACAACATGACTTTGAGATTTAAATTGTGATGTCCAAATGCAAACTCGCCTTGCTTGTATGGATGTTGATAAACACTATGTATGTGTATTAAGTTATTTCACTGTTAATTTTGTGTGGTGTTCAGACTGAATCATTTGCTAGTGGTCAAAATGCATTTCCACAAACTGTTTCATTTGTAATCGTTGAAAATGAATTTTTTAAAGTAGTTAATTTCCAGTAAACATTGGTCCAATGCAAATAGTGAATGCATGTTTGAAAATTAGTTTGTAAAAATACAAAAAATAAATAGGATGGTTATCATTTGAGTGATTGTTTAATAATTTCTGTTTGCTGCTTACATGGTAAGTTGTCAATTACACTACATCAATAAGAATAATTTTAGAAAGTTTTTTTTTTCCAATAGGATATGTTTGCAGTAGTTCATTTCCCAGATGAGGATTGTGTGGAATGTGTTCCCATGTCATGGTTACATGAGGTATAAAAGTACATGTATTTTCAATCTTTACAAATAAAGTCTTGATTATTTGATTGCATTTATCATACACTTTTTATGAAACTTTAGGGAAAGTGCTATTGGCCTCAAAAGGAGGCAAAGAAAAAAATAAAGAACTTGGCAATTCCAGACAAAGAGAAATGGACTCTGTACAACATTCGGAAACTGGGACAAGGTAAGTTATAAAGTAAATGTAACCTGATAAAGTTTTACAAGTCATTCTCTTTATACTCATAATGTACAGATAAAACTGCATTATTAGAATGATATATAGTGAATGTCTAATGTTTCCATAGATTATGAAGACTATGACACAGCCAGGAAATATTGCAAAAAGGCAGAGGAAACATCAAACTTTGAAACGGATGATGACACAAGAAAGAAGAAGACTCCTGCTAGATTCTACTCCTCCAGTGAGAGTGAAGATGACAATGACATTGATGGAAAAGGTAATTTAACCAATTTTGATAAAATTCAGTTTCTTACTTGTTTAGATGACTTGTAAGCCTGTAGTTAATGAGTAAGGAAGTTTACTGTTTTTCTTAGAAGGTGAAATGAAGTTTCATGGAAGATTTTAAAATGAAACAAAAGCACGTTCAACTAAACTATTATCTTTTAAATCAAGGTTCAGCTGGCCTACCAAAACCACCTAAAGTCATCTCCTCCTTGAAAGGGCTTAAAAGAACTACCAATGACTTAGAAGGGCAAGGAAATTCAGCTCCCTTGAAGAAGAAGTTATTGCTGGCATCAAAAGAAACTGACACTCATCCCTCCCCTCGATCCCCATCTCCACCACCAGCAGTACCAAGGAGTCAGACAGTTACAACTGTTAGGAGGCAGTTGTTATCACCTGTTCGCAGATCACCCAGATCGAAAACAACATTGTCTGGCAGAGAAGAGACCCGAAGAAATCTAGCAACCCCACCCAGAGTGCAGGCCTTGTCAATATCACACACGACAGGTTTGATAAAATTAAATTATAAACCTGTTTAAATTCTGAAATTTTGTTGTTTGCACTTCCTGTGTTGTTGTACATCATGCATCATTAAATTTAGTCATGGTACATGTATTAAATTTATTTTTTAGCATCACGATCTTCAGCTAATTCGGCAGAAAAAGAGGACGTACACAGTGTTCCTGAATTGCTCAGACAGGGTATGTTTAAATTCTCAGTAGTTTTAATTTTTTAATGATTTTTAAAGATATTTTTATAAATATCACTGTTTTTACCTAAATACGTGTGAATGTTTCATGTGTAAGCATATTTTCATGGAAATATGAGAATGTATAAATCATTTTTAGTGCTTGCTAAACTGGACCATCTTCAAAGTGATATGACAGCTTTAAGAAATCATATGACAACTGCAGATGTTGAAGTTGAAGACATTGAAAGTTTCCTTCCATCTCAGAGAAAACTTGATTCAAGTGAAGATATAAAACAATTGGAGGAGAGCTTAGATGAAAGTTCTAGGAAAAAAATGGTAAGGAAAAATAAAATTACATTTGTGTATAAACTAATTAAAAGCTTTTCTGTCTATTACCTAGAATCGCCAAAGAATTTAGGTCAGAAAAAAATCATAATTTAAAACATTTATATGTAAGTTTTGAAAAAAAAAAATTCAACTCTCAATATCTGCTTTAAAGTATCTGTTATATAAGTATCTAATTAATTTAAATTGATTTATAGATTACTTCACTGGCCTCATTGCAAGGAGGGAATGATGCAGGTGAAATTTGCAGGACGGTCATGAGGGCATTGATGACTAACAATGCCATGAGTCAGTACAGTGGAACAGGCCAAAAAGGAAAGCTACCCTTCATTGGTACACCTCTCTACAAGATTATTCTGTGTAAGTCCATATCTTCAATTTCATGTTTTAAAGTGTCTTTGATAATTATTATTTGAGAGCACACTCTAAAGAGTTCTGAATCTGTTTTATGTGTCTGAAGTTTAAGTTAGCTACCTTTAGATCTAAAATGATATAAATTGAAATCTGATTCTGCAATATATTACTCAGTTTGTTGGCAGTTCAAGCAATTTCAATAATTCATTGACCTCTTTATTCGCAATTCTGGAAAAACTACAGCGATTTCTGTTGTTATCAGTACTTTTAATTTTGAACATTTTTCCTGGTGGTAAATGTATTCTGTGTTAAAATTGAAAAAGACTTACCAGTAAGTATTCACACTTTTTTGTCCAAATTTTCTTTTGCTTTTGTAGATATAGGATCCCAAAGCATTCAAATAATTTTGTTTTCATCATACATTAGTATTTAAATCAAAGAAAATTTAAACTATTTATAGAGTACTGGTATGTGATATGAAATGTATGTAAAGAGCTTTTCTAACAGCTTAAACAATTTCTGTTAAAATAGCTGCAGCAAGAAAGGCCTCTAAGAAGACACTAGCATTCCAGGAAATCAAAACAGAAGTGCTTGATGTTTTAAGGAATGCCCCTAATAAGCCAGGGGGAACAAATTACATAAAGGTAATACACATGTACATGTATCTTTTAACTGGTAGTTAGAAAGTTTAGGTAATCTTTATATACTTTTTTCACACACTAATGAAAACAGTTGCATATCATTGTTGGTTATATGTAATATAAATCAAACATTGTTATAATTTTACTTGTATAATTTTTAATAAAAAAATTAATTCATTTTCTTTGTATTACATGTTTAAGTTACTCTGCTCTATGATTACAGAAAAGAGGAAATAAACGAACAAGACCACCTTTGATAGATGAATTTCCGGAGGACTCCAGTTAAAGACGTTTAAAAGATTCGAGATTACAATTTCAAAATTTGATTCATTTCGGTTGTTTATAGCACCAAGACTCATGTACAATAATTCATATTTGTGTACTGTAGAGGACTATTGTGTTTTAAAGTTCAGTTAGAGACTTTTAAAATGATTCAAGCAGGTGCAATTTTAAAATTTGATTCATTTGTTTATAGCACCAAGACTCATGTACAATAATTCATATTTGTGTACTGTAGAGGACTCTTGTGTTTTAAAGTTCAGTTAAAGACTTTTAAAATGATTCAAGCAGGTACAATTTTAAAATTTGATTCATTTGTATAAAGCACCAAGACTCATGTACAATAATTCATTTTTGTGTACTGTAGAGGACTCTTGTGTTTCAAAGTTCGGTTAAAGACTTTTAAAATGATTCAAGCAGGTACAATTTTAAAATTTGAATCATTTGTATATAGCACCAAGACTCATGTACAATAATTCATTTTTGTGTACTGTAGAGGACTTTTGTGTTTATAAGTTTTGAAAAATATGTAAGAATTTTTCATCAATATAAGAACTTTATCATGTTTTCAAAAAGTTGTTCTTATTTTTATATGTAAATAAGAAATAGTTAGAGAATATTTGTAGAAATATTTTCAAAATGTTTCATCCAGATGTTTCAGGAGCATTATCTTACAATGTTTGCAGACAGGTTTTTAGAATGTTGTTTAAAATTTTTATAATGTTTGAAATAATGTAAAAAAAAAATTGAAGTGTTTAAAAACGTTGTAAAATATGTTTCAAAAATATTTCTGCACAATATGGCTTAAAATGTGTTTAAGTAATATTTCAAAAAACATTATTTCAAAACATTTCAGAAAATGTTTTAAAAACGTTTAAAAAAACATACAAAATCACGTGATTAAAACATGTTAAAAAATGTTTTTGCAACATTCTAAGAAAATGTTCTTATAACATTGGGTGAAACATTATGCTAAAATGTTTTAAAGACGTTTAAAAAACCATACAAAATCACGTGATTAAAACATTTTAAAAAATGTTTTTGCAACATTCTAAGAAAATGTTCTTATAACATTGGGTGAAACATTATGCTAAAATGTTTTAAAAACGTTTAAAAAACCATACAAAATCACGTGATTAAAACATTTTAAATAATGTTTTTGCAACATTTTAAGAAAATGTTCTTAAAACATTGGGTGCAACATTATGCTAAAATGTTTTAAAAACGTTTAAAAAACCATACAAAATCACGTGATTAAAACATTTTTAAAAATGTTTTCGTAACATTTTGAGAATGTTTTAAAAACATTTTTAAAATGTTTTTGTGCTAGCTGGGATGGTAAAGGACCCATAGCTTACTGCCCTCATGTATAATTTGGTAATTGTTTAGGAGTAAATAAGATCTTCAAATGCATCTTGAATAATTGAATTTCAAATATATGACCAACTTAGCCTTACCCTCGGGCATGGCCACTGGAACCTGGGAGCAAGAATTTCGCCATTTCTGTTGAGGGCTAGCAGCATATTGTTATTTTGTAAACAATTCACATGCTAGAGGTAAATGAGTAAAAAGGATTTTCAAAGGTGAAATGTGCAGATAATGAACAGTGATCAATCTCACAATACGAATTGTTAACGGAGCAAACACGGACCTTTGAAAACAGAGTTGGGATAAGGTGCCACGTAGGAGTAAGTATCCCCTGCCAACCGCTCACACCAGCCAAGTGCACGTACTTGTCATGATCGGGTAAACGGAAAAATCCGTAATCAATTCAGTGTGAAAATAATGGCCTTACAATTTGTATGAAAGACGTCAGTCAACTATGAGGCGCCGTTTTGGTATTTACTGCAAAAAAGTGATATCACCTATTCGAATAGGTGATATCACCTATTCAATTGGTGATATCACCTATTCGAATAAGTGATATCACCTATTCAGCTTCTGAATAGGTGATATCACCTATTCGAATAGGTGATATCACCTATTCGAATAAGTGATATCACCTATTCGAATAGGTGATATCACCTATTCAATTTGAATGAGTGATATCACCTATTCGAATAGGTGATATCACCTATTCGAATAGGTGATATCACTTATTCGAATAGGTGATATCACTTATTCGAATAGGTGATATCACCTATTCCTTTTGAATAGGTGATATCACTTATTCGAATAGGTGATATCACCTATTCAAATCAAATAGGTGATATCACCTATTCGAATAGGTGATATCACTTATTCGAATAGATGATATCACTTAATCATTTTGAATAGGTGATATCACTTATTCCAATAGGTGATATCACCTATTCAAATTATTTATGAAATAACAACTGCTCCCAAGACTATAGCCTTTAATTCTCATTTACTTTCACTTTCGTTTTATAACTTACCATTCTTGCAGACAATGGATTACAGCTTCGCATTTAGTTTTAAGCAGCCCAGTAGAATTTGTAGTTTGTTTTGCTCACAAATTATATTTATTACACTTATCTATCATGTATACTATAGGAAAATTCAAAGGGTCTGTAAGTCTCGTTGACTTTCACTTTCGTTTTATAACTCCCGGGTACCTGAGCGTTCTTGGAGACAGTGGATTACTTAAGTTGTAAGCATCGCAGTGGAATTATTAAACTTGTAGTTTGTTTTGATTCCCGATTGTTGCAAAGAAGAGGAGAAAATGGATTGATAGATGCAGGTGAATAGCGTTTAATTGCTTTATTTTTTCATTACATAACGTAAACACAAGCTATTCCGAGGGGGCCAAGATTAGCCAACATACTTAAGCATAAAGGGAAAATTAAATCGTTTTTATTCTAAAATCGTCTGTATTCAAAAGGTACGCTTATCTACAGATTGGTTTCATAAATTTAAAGCATTGATTTAGCTTACAATATGGTATAATTTGGAGTATTGGACAGGTATACATGAGATTGGGATATTGAATGCGATGTCATTGAAAGCAAATAAAAAAAATAGATGTACCCAAATGCATCGACCATGGGAATACAAAGTTGAATACCACGTCGATAACATATGATCTTTGTAGAAAACACATTTTTTTTTAATTTAATTACTACAATAAATAAAAATGGTCAGCTCAAAATTGGTCATTCTGTAGGCTACCCTGTCTATTCAGAAATAAAAATGGTCACATACATTCAAAAAATAATTATTTTTTATTCTACAAAGAAGAAGGCATTTTTTCATTTACACATACAAACTGTATTAACTGCCAAGTTTCATGACCCCCCCCCCCCCTTTTCCAATACTTCTACAATTATGAGACAGACTTTTTTTTCTTGAAATAGGCATTTTTCTCCATTTGTCATAACATATTACAGGGCTGCACAAGGTACTGAAAAAGAGACAGCGCTTTGAGTGAATGTGTTATCCATGTATCTGCAAATGAAGCAGATCCCCCAGTTATTATACTCATGGAGAGTGTAACAACTTCCAACTTGTTAATGACGGAACTCCATTTAAATCAGGTACAAGTTAAAGTTTAGGCTGCACAATTCTTTATTACAATATTCAAAACTTAATAATTCAGGATCAAGTTCACACAAGCTCACATTCCATGGTTACTTACAACACCATTATGCTAGAAAAATTTGTTATACACTTTCATGTTAAATAGTCAAATTTGATTGGTTTAAAAAACATTTGTTAACAAGTACTATTACCATACTGCATGCCAGACATTACATCCCAATGGTTGAAAATGCATGACTACGGGTAACAGTATATACAGTAATAAAAAATGTTAACTGTGCAGAATGTTTGCACGTTCGTTTCACCTTGTTGTTTTCTTTAAGGATACACTAAAGGTTTCCAAATGCTAGAATTTAATTTGCATGTAATTCTTTCATTATCAAAGATAACATAATAAAAGTATATATCATTTGAAAGCTTGTTAAATTTACTATTTAATTATCCTAATTTAAACTTTAATTAATGACTTATTTAAAAATTATTTAAATATTAATGTAAATTTTAGTGCCTAAATATTTTATAAATCAACTTTTTTGTATTTAACCCCTCAAAGTGGTCATTTTGCCTCAAGGTAGATTAAAGATTGAACTTCAAAACTGTATCTCAGATTTTTGATAAATCTTCTAATTCAAAAGTTACAGCCATTTGCCCTTCAATGTTACCAATTTATTAGCCTAATTTAACATTTCCCTCAATAATTCCAAAACTAAGCTAGATATCAAAAATCTGAGATACGGTTTTGTGAACACACATTTGAGAAGAAGCCCATCCAATTTTCAGAGAAATTGGTCAATAAATAAGGAAGATGAATCCTTTGAAATAATACCACACACTGTCTGATCTTACTTTACAGTAGAGGGCAAAAACCCATTACACAACAAAATCTGCCAAAGCTAGGAATATATGACACCTTGGAGATTCAGCTTTGGATACCTGTCACTTAGCCATATTTCCTATGCATATTCACAGGAATGGGAGGTTCTTTTCTGTATTTAGATGCTTTTAATTAGTTAAAATAGGTTCAATTCTGAATCAGAAAGATTTCCCGGCAAAATGGCAAGAGCTAAGCTCCACCTCCTATTTTATGGTCATCAGTGATCTGTTAGATCTCCTTCTCTAAATCTAGAGTCCCTGTAGTTTAATTACTGATAATCTCTGTGTGGCTAGTGAAGAATTCCCCAAGTGGTCACAGTGATTTATTGCGTCTTTCATGAGCAGGCAGTCACAGATCAAATCAGAAGCTTCAATAACGGAACATTCACATGTGGTAGTGTTTATGTTTCATTATTGTTAAATAATTAGAAAACCATTTCATAATTACCAAGAATTTTACATGCATTATAAAGCAGTGAATAACTTCTTTTTCTTAGCCAAAAATCTCAAAATTGTTGAAAATCTTGAAAAAAGCCTTTGGTGTATCCTTAAAATGCATTCTATAACAAGAAAAATATTACCTGTTTATTTTGGGTGATGTGAAATTCTTACCCCTTAAAAACCATTGCTGACCGA